CATTAGAAAGGATGGATCATTCAATATATAGTGCTAGGATGTTGGCAAATCATTCCCTATCACACATCATATATAAAACCAACTGAAGATGGATCAAGTACATAACAGTGATAAGCAAAAGATTTAGAAACTTTTAACAAAATCATAGCAGGATATCTTTATAACTTGAGTTATTTAAAAAGACACAAGAAGTATAAAATGAAGAAAAATCCTAATTCAATTTCATTAAGAACTGCTTAACCAACATATCACAGAAAGTAAAAAGATAAGTCACACACTGGGACACATATAACCTACAAAGGAAATATTCAGGATAAATAATAACAAAGTATTAATAAAAACAAACTCAATTTTCTAAAATGAGCAATAGACATTTCACAGAAGAGGAAACACAATTGCCTCATAAATACTGGAAAGGTGCTCAGCCTCAGCCTCAGCCTCAATCTCAATCTCAAGCCTCATTTTGTATTTATTTGTATTCAAGTAAATACAAACAAAAACTATGAGACATTATTTTACAACTACTATTTTGACAAAAATTTTAAAATCCAAGAATATCAAGTATTGGTAAAGATGTAAAGAAATGTGAGCTTTCATCCATTACTGGTGGAAATATAAAATAATAATTTGGATTAAAGTTTAAGATTACCTAGTAAAGTAAAATACACACACACAATATGATCCAGCAGTTCCACTCCTAAGTACATTATAGGAAGGATCCCCAGCACCTGGCTGCCTACCAAAAAGTGCTCCCCACTCCCATTAGGAAGTGGGCTGCACAGCAGGTAAGCAGTCTGCTAGAGAGCATTACCGCCTCAGCTCCTCCTGTCAGATCAGCAGAAGCATTAAATTCACATTCTCACAGGACCGTGAAACCCTACTGTGAACTATGCATGTGAGGGATCTAGGCTGCACATCTTATCAGAATCTAATACCTGCTGATCTGAGGTGAAACAGTTTTATCCCCAAAACATCACCCCACCATGGAAAAACTGTCTTCCATTAAACCAGTCCCCGGTGCCAAAATGGTTGGAGACTGCTACATTATAGAACTCTTATATGTGTACAACAGATAAACAAGCATAAAAATGTTACCAGTGATGCTTAAAAAGCAAAACTTGGAGACAACCAGAATGTCCATCAACATCAGAATGTACTAATACATTACAGTAGATTTAGAAAACGAATATAAGTACCAGTGCAAATGAATGACCTGCAATTACACATAACATAAATGAATCTGAAAAACATAAAATGAGGCAAAAATATAAGTTACAGAACAGTATAAACGATATGATTCCATTTATATGAAGTTCAGAGAAAAGCAAAACCAAACCATGTTCCTGCTTAGAAATTTATTCATATGTGACAAAACTATAAAGTAATTTAAGTAGCTTATTAATCTAAAACTCAGTTATTACCTCCAGGGGAGGGGGAAGAAGATGCAATCAGGAAAACACAGAAGCCTTTAAAAGTATTCGAAATACTTCTTTTTTTTTTTTTTTTTTTTTTTGAGCCTGTTGCCCAGGCTCGAGTGCAGTGACCCAATCTCAGCTCAGAGCAACCTCTGCCTCCCGGTTCAAGTGACTCCTGCCTCAGCCTCCTGAGTAGCTAGGATTACAGGGATGCACCACTGTACCTGGCTAATTTTTGTATTTTTAGTAGAGACAGGACTTCAACATGTTGGTCAGGCTGGTCTCAAACTCCTGACCTCATGATCCACCTGCCTCAGCCTCCCAAAGTGCTCAGATTACAGGCACGAGCCACCGTGCCTGGCCAGAAATACTTCATTTTTTAACGTGTATGTTAGGTACATATATGTTTGTTTCATTATTATTTAAACCAGCAGTCTCCAATCTTTTTGGCACCAGGGACTGGTTTTGTGAAGACAGCGTTCCCACAGACTGGAGAGTGGTGGGTGGGGAAGCATGCCTAAAGTCAGTGGTCTCCAACCTTTTTGGCACCAGGGACCAGTTTTCGGGAAGACAACTTTTCCACAGACGGGTGGAGAGGATGGTTTTGGGATGATTCAAGTGCATTACATTTACTGTTTACTTTATTTCTATTATTATTGCATTGTAATATACAATAAAATAATTATATGACTCACCATAATGTAGAATCAGTGGGAGCCCTGAGCTTGTTTTCCTGCAACTAGGTGGTCCTATCTGCAGGGGATGGGAGACAGTGACAGATCATCAGGCATTAGATTCTCATAAGGAGCATGCAACCTAGGTCTCTGACATGCACAGTTCACAATGGGGTGTGAGCTCCTGAGAATCTCATGCCTCCACTGATCTGAAGAGGCAGAGTTCTGGCGGTAATGCAAGTGATGGTTAGTGGCTGTAAACAGAGATGAAGCTTTGCTCACCTCTTCCTGTGTGGCCTGGTTCCTAACAGGCCATGGACAGCTATCAGTCTGTAGTCTGGGGGCTGGGGACCCTTAATTTAAATTGAACATTTAAACTAAAGTTATATACACTCCTTTTAATGTATATTTTAAAAGCTTTAAGATATTAAAATAATATTTTTCATATTTCAAAGCTTTAAGAAATTAAAATTTTTCTACTTTTGAAATTTTTAAGTATTTTCTTCAATGCATGTTACAAATATAAATAGTAAGAGCTCCAGTGGTGCAATCGATTAGCGCACGGTACTTATATGACAAATATAAATAGTATATCCCTTTTTAAAGTAAACAAAACACTCATTTTTAATTTGGACGCTGAGTATTGAGAAAAACAATAAACTAATACAACTATAAACCCAGTCCTGGCATTTAGACATATGAGATTTTACAAGTTTTCAACGGTATTTTTTTTTTTTTGCAGTAATAGCCTGGTAATAACCAAATTAGAATTTGTTGGCTATCAATAAAGGATATTTTATCAGCAACAGAAACAATTTAAAAACTTGGAAGAATTGTGATAGGCTAGCTAAAATATAACCTACAAAATAATTTTTGTAAGGCCAGGAACAGTGGCTCACACCTATAATACCAGTACTTTGTCAGGCTGAGGCCGGAGTATTGCTTCAGTCCAGGAGTTCAAGACCAGCCTGGGCAACACAGTGATACCTTGTCTCTCAAAAAAAAAAAAAAAAATCAAAAAATTATCTGGGCTTGGGTGGTCCCAGCTACTCTGGAGGCTCAGGAGGCCAAGCCCAGGAGTTCAAAGCTCCAGTGATCTATGATTTTGCCACTGCACTTCAGCCTGGGTGACAGAGTGAGACCCTGTCTCAAAAACAAAAAAAATTTTTTTATATAGCTGTAATACAAGATAGTGCTTGTTTATTAGTAAAGACTGTTCATAGTGGCTAGGTGTGGTGGCTCAGGCCTGCAATCCCAGCACTTAGGGAGGCATGGCAGGCAGATCACTGGAGGTCAGGAGTTTGAGACCAGCCTGGCCAACATGGTGAAACCCATGTCTCTACTAAAAATCCAAAAATTAGCTGGCCACAGCAACCTGCAGGTGTAATCCCAGCTACTCAGGAGGCTGAGGCAGGAGAAGTGTTTGAACCCAGGAGTCGGAGGTTGCAGTGAGCAGAGATCATGCCACTGCACTCCGCCCTGGGCAACAGAGTGAGACACCGTTTTGCGGGGTAAAAACTTTGTCAGGCGTGTTAGCTCACGCTTGTAATCCCAGCACTTTGGGAGGCTGAGGCAGGCAGATCACCTAAGGTTAGGACTTCATGACCAGCCTTGCCAACATGGCGAAACCCTGTCTCTACTAAAAATATAAAAATCAGCCGAGCATGGTAGTGGGTGCCTTAATTCCAGCTACTTGAGAGGCTAAGGCAGGAGAATCACTTGAACCCAGAAAGCAATAGTTGCAGTGAGTGCCAGCTGGGATTAAGGCACCCACTACCATGCCCGGCTAAAATTTTTGCACTCCAGCCTGGCCGACAGAGCAAGACTCTGCCTCAAAAAAACAGAATGTTCATAGCTATTAAATTAATAAATATTGGGAAATATTGTTGTAAAAACCTGCTTATTCAACCTTTTTTGATAAAACCAATTTTATTAAAAAATTTGTGAGTACACCAGTGCATATATTTATGAGGTACATGAGATATTTTGATACAGATATGTAATGCATAATAGTTAAAAATCACAGTAAATGGGGTATCCATTCCCTCAAGCATTTACCCTTTGTATTACAAACAATCCAGTTATACTACCAGTTATTTAAAAATGTACAATTAAACTATTACTGACTATTGTCACTCTGCTGTGCTATCAAATACTAGGTCTTATTCATTCTAACTACTTTTTGTACCCAGTAGCCATCCCCACATCCGCTGTAAAACTTGCCTGTTCAATCTTTAAAACTAATTGGAAACAGTAAATAGTTAATTATTAATATTTAGTTCATAAGAGTTTTTTGGGCTGGGCATGGTGGCTCATGCCTGTAATCCCAGCACTTTGGGAGGCTGAGGTGGGTGGATCACGAGGTCAGGAGTTTGAGACCAGCCTGGCCAAGATGATGAAACCCCATCTCCACTAAAAGTACAAAAATTAGCTGGGTACCTGTAATCCCAGCTACTTGGGGGGCTAAGGCAGGAGAATCACTTGAACTTGGGAGGCGGAGGTTGCAGTAAGCCGAGATCGTGTCACTGCACTCTAGAATGGGCGACAGGGCAAGACTCCGTCTCAATAAAAATAAAAAAGTTTTTGTTTTTTGGTGGATTTTTGTCTTTGAGATGTGTTCTCATATGCTAAGCAGTATAGAAGGCGTTTGGGAAAGCAGAATAAGACAATGTTCCAGTCCTCACAAAGCTTACATTATTTGTGCTATTGTTAGCTTTGTGTTACCACATCTTTCCCTTTTCCTCTACGTTTTTGGCAAAAACAAACAAAAAACCCAGATCTATGTTAATCAAAGAATAAAGAGAAAAAGGAAAAACCCAGAGGTATCTTATGGTAATAATCAAATTTTACTTTAAATTTATTAGAGAACAGCTTGAAATCTAGCTAGGTCTGAGGTTCAAGAAACAGCTTAGTGCTCGCTTTGGCAGCACAACTGATATTGGAACGATACAGAGAAGATCAGCATGGCTCCCGTGCAAGGATGACATGTATATTCGTGAAGTATTCCATTTGTTATTATTTTAATTTTTTTAAAAAAGACAGCTTATGGCCAAAAACGTGGATCTGGGATTCATCCAATCACCCACAGGTGTCAAAGTCAAAAGAAAAATGTAGATACAAACCTGTAAATTTGTTTTACCTGGAAAGAAAGAATTGTAATTTGGGGCACACACATAGACTGGGTGGTCTTCAGTATGTCCAAAGAACAAAGATATGGTTGGGAGTTTTATAAAGAAGAGGAAATGTTATGTGTGTCTTGAGAGAAAGTTTATTGGTATTAGTAAGACTTTGGGGAGCTGGTAAGCTCCAGCTGGTGAGCAAAATTAGTCCCAGAGCTATAGCAAGTTAACTCAGCAGATGTAGATAAAACTGGTTTTTGGTTATAAATAGGCAGTTTTAGCTGCCAGACTTGCAGAGAATGCCATTTCTAGAGCAATGTTATAGACCCTGAATGTGCTTTCCCCTTGGCCCCTCAACTGATTTAGCTGAGTATGACAAAAATGACCCGATTTGATGATAAACTTTCACACAGGTAATAGCAGAAATAGAAGTAGATAAAAATCTCCTAGTCCAAGGTGGAAAGGAGCAATTTAGATAGAGCAAAATGGAATCTTAGGAAGCACCTACATCTAAGCTGCAAGCAGACAAAGATGAGGCAAAAGAATCAGGAAATGGTGGTATGGGTATATTCTTAAGGAAGTCAGGAAAAGTAATACACAAAAACCAGTCTCCAGGAGCTTCAAATGTTGCAAAACTCAAACAGAGTATTTTTAAAAGAACAATTAATGTAGCAATAGCACAGAATTAGTGGCTTTTGAGAGAAGAATATGAATAGAGTAGCTGGAGCAAAACCCAAATTATAAGCAGTTGAGGAATAGGTGAGAGGAGAAAGATGGAAAGAGGGATCCTGAATGCAGACTGTTCTTGGAAAACGTATTCTCATACCTCACAAGAAGAAATGCTAACCAATATGGACGTTTTTGCAAAGCAATTTGACAACTGCTATCAAAATTAAAAATATACCCTTTGCCCAGAGAATCCATTTTTGGGAATTTATCCTACAAAAATTAAAGGATATACAAAGATTGTATTGCATGGTGGCAAAAACCAGAAATAATGTAAATGATCACCAGTAAGGGAATGGTTGGATACATTGTGGAATATGATTATTATGGGCTGAATAGTGTCCCTACAAAATTCATATGCTGAAGTCCTAAGCCCCAGTACCTCAGAATGTGAATATATTTTGAGATAACTTCTTTAGAGAGGTAATTAAGTTAAAATGAGGTCATTAGGGCAGGTCTGAATCCAATCCAAGACTGATATCCTTAATAAGAGGAGGAAATTTGGACACAGAAGACCACATAAAGAAACAGGGAGAAGACAGCCATCTATAACTCAGGGAGAGGCCTCAGAAAAAAAGAACTCACCAGTATCTTTATCTTGGGTTTCTAGTCTCCAAAACTGTGAGAAAATTAATTTCTGTTGTTTAAGTCACTCAGTGTGTGGTACTCTGTTATGGCACCCCTTGCAAACTAATACAACTATACATGTAGCCATTAAAAAGAACAAATTAGAGCTATTCTTAAGTGAGAAAAGAAGGTATTCCACAAGTTATTCTTAAGGGAAAAAAGAAACTCACAGAAGAATGTAAAATATAGAGAATTCTTAAAAAAAAAAAAAACAAACCCACATATACATACACATGTATGTGTAATTGTAAGTATATATTTATACACGAGCATGACAGCAGAATATAATCTTCCTTGTCGACATGGGTTATAAATGGTCCTGAGCAAGGCAGGGATGTGGATAGAAGAGAAAGGGGGAAAGGGAAAGAATGAACCATTCTTCCTCCAAAACTCTACTAAAAATTATTTATGCATATTTATAACATTTATGCCTATGTGTATATAAAATATAAATTTAATTAAAATTTTTCATTGGTATGTGGTTTACTCCAGTGTATATATTAGCCATGGGAAAGACATATTTAAAGTCCTTTCCCACAGAAAATAACTACACACACCAAATTGCAAACATGTGTCAAGTGCTAAATTCATATCATCTTTCATGTGTTTTGCTTTAAAAACAGTAATGACCTTCCTAAACAACTTTTTAAAAATATTACTATGTGATAACAGAATTCTCATCAATAAAACAAGGAACTGACTCAAGAAAAGTGTCTCTGATGGTTTTATAGTTCCTCTTCAACTATGCTCTTTATCTTCCAAAAGTGGCATATATCCCTTTATCAATGATCGGGATAGGGGCACTTTATCAAATTCCCAGTGTTTTTTCTGCTAGTGCTCCCATCCAACATACTCTATTTTTATTTTTATGTATTTTTTTGAGATAGGGTCTTACTCTATCACGAGGCTGGACTGCAGTGGCGTGTTCACAGCTCACTACAACCTTGACCTCTCAGGCCCAAGCAATTCACCCACCTCATCCTCCTGTGTAGCTGGGACTATAGGCATACACCACCATGCTCAGCTAATTTTTTCAATTTTTGTAGAAATGGGTGTCTCACTATGTTGCTCTGGATGATCTCAAATTCCTGGGTTCAAGCAATCCTCCTGCCTTGGCCTCCCAAAGTATTGGGATTCCAGGCATGGGCCACCACAGTCATCCTACCCTATGTTAAGTTTGAACCACATTCTGAGATGTATTTAAAGCTGGAGTGGCAATTAACAATACATGTGATATGGGTCTACTGTCTATCGTTGGCAGTCTTCCTTAAAATGCCAACAGATGGCAACTGTGATCTGAGTGTCTTTCTAGTAAACCAAAACCATAACAAGCAAGAAAAAAAACTTTTTAAAATTAGAACGTCTCCAAATAAATCAGGTGCCCTGACATACGACCACTTCAGTAAACTGATTTACTAGACGAACAGATTTCCTCACATTTATACAAACTATCATTTCTAGACAGTAAAATGGTCAATGTCATCTGTGAATTCTACCAGACTTTCTGAGTAATGGGGAGGCTGTATCCCAAATAGGATACATGCACACATTCAACAGACAGTATAAAAGATACAACCCCACGCTCACGGTGCTTAGAAGTACAGTAGGGGAACTAGACATTAAACAAATAATTTATTTAAAAATAATAATAAACAAAAACATAACGATGTAAGAGGCAGAGTAGTAAAAAGGTTAAGTGTGGGCTACATCTTCTACATTCAAATCCTTGTTTTTTCAATTACCAGAGTGTAATCCTGAGCAAATTACTTATTCCTTCTGGTAATATTACATACCAATATATTGTCAATCTTTAGTAAATGTTACCTGTAGCTATTATTGACATTCTTGTAAAAGTATAGGACATGAGGCTACAAAATGGGTGTCTAAGTTAACCTAGTGGTTCTGGAAAAGATTAAAGCTGAAAGCTGAAAGGTGAACAGAATTTAGGTGAAAAGTGTATTGGCGAAGTGAGAGAGAGAACATTCTAGGCAAAGGAAACAGACGGTATACAAGTGAAGGGGACAGTGAAGGAAATGAAATTAGATCTAGGTAGGGCCCAGATCACTGGCCAGAAGCAGGTGCATATACTAGGATAAGGAATACTGTAAGATGAGCAGATGTTTCTATAACTGGGGACCCCATTATGCTTGAGAGCTTTGAGACATGCAATTAGCAAACAGGCAATTTAACAAATTAGATATTGGTAAGCAAGCCTGGATTACATTTTTAATAATTTTATCATATAATGCCTCTATCCTATCAAAATAAGAAGTGGTTAGATATTAAATCACTGTAAAATAAAACATGCCTTTCCCCAACAATTCCATATTGGTAGACAGGAAGGCTAGAGGAAAATTAGTGTAAAACAGGAATACTAGAAATGGCTTTTCCCCACATCTTTCTACTTTACTAAAACATGGCTGGATGTCCTAGGAAAGGACGGAAGTCTGCTGACTCCTGGGCTCAACTGTGGTAAATATATTCTTCAAAAGGGAAATAGTCACAGGTGTTTGTATGGTTGTTTGTGACAGAGGCTCTTCTGTCACCCAGGCTGGAGTGCAGTGGTGCAATCTCGGCTCACTGCAACCTCAGTTTCCCTGGTTTAAGTGATTCTCCTACCTCAGGCTCCCAAGTGGCTGGGATTGCAGGCACTCGCCACCATGCCTGGCTAATTTTTGTATTTTTAGTAGAGACAGGGTTTCCCCATTTTAACCAGGCTAGTCTCTAACTCCTGACCTCAGGTGATCCACCTCAGCCTCCCACAGTGCAGGGATTACAGGCATGAGCCACTGCCATCGTTTTTTTCTAAAATAGTCACTTTGCTTCATTCGTACTCCGGTGAAAGCCTGTTGTTCCTCACAAATTGGCCAAAATTAAAATTTTAACTTAAATTTGATGTCACTCCTTCACCTAAAATCCTTGAATGTTTTACTATCACTAGTGCTAAACCCCTACATGAAGTGGTCCTTGTCTATCTCTACAAACTTGACTTTTGTCATTCTTCTTCATATACACTATACTGGTTGCTTTTTTTCTTTTTGGAGACAGGGTTTCACTCTTTCACCCAGGCTCGAGTGCAGTGGGAATATCGTGGCCTGCTGCACATACTGGTGTCTTGATGTTTCTTGTATACCCCAAGCTTGTCCTGCTTCATGGTCTTACACTAACTACCCTCTCCTAAGGAGCTCCTCCATCAGATTTTTTTGCATGACTGGCTGCTTCTGAACATTCTGGTCTCTTCTCAAATGTTACCTCCTCAGAGGGGCGGTCCTTGGCCTTTATTTTTAAAAGTACCACCTCCTCTCCTGCCTCTCAGACCCTACTTATCACAACCTGCTTTATTTTCTTTATTCTACTTACACTTATCTAAAACCACAGTATTTCTTTTCTTTTTTTTTTTTTTGAGACAGAGTTTCGCTCTTGTTACCCAGGCTGGAGTGCAATGGCGCAATCTCGGCTCACCACAACCTCCGCCTCCTGGGTTCAGGCAATTCTCTTGCCTCAGCCTCCTGAGTAGCTGGGATTACAGGCATGTGCCACCGT